TCTTGCCAAGACCCTGCATTTACTTCTCTTACAACCCCATCTAAAATATATTAAACAACCATGGTGACATCACACATCCCTTTTTTAAAAAATACTTTTTTGGGGGAAAATTTCCCCCTTTCCCCACATACTTAATTATCCTCACTATCCTTGTAAAAACTCTTCACTGCTTTCAGTAACCTCCCCTAACCCCAAAACCCGCAACATCGCCCCATTGCCCCCCACCCCTGTCTAGCCTTTTCCCCAAAAAATTTAAAAGCCCCAAAGACCTCTTTTAGTTTTCTAAATATTTCACTTATGTTTCACTGTAAACACCTGGTCCCCACACCCCTACCTTTCCCAAAGCTCCTTGTTCATCTGCTATCCTATTCTCCTTTACTCTTAATTTTTCAATATAACCCCACCATACACTTTACCAGGGATCTCAAAAAGCTTATCCCCCTATAATTTTTTTTTTACTTCCCTTTTTTCCCCTTTTCCTTTTACAAAGGAACATGCATGCTCTTGCCAATCCCAGGTCCTTACCCCCTTCCAAAAATTTTTTAAAAAATTGCACCAACCCCTCCAAAACTATATCCCCCACCCGCTTTTAACCCTTTGACTGTTTCAGGCCCCCCCTCTGAAACTGTCTTCAGTCGCTCAATTTTTTTAAAAAAAAAAAAAAATTTTTTTTTATAAATGATAGAGAACTTTTCCCCATGGGAATGACACCCAAAAAGTTGAAATTTGGTCGAAAAACTCATGGGGGTTAGCCCCGCGAAGTTTTGCGTCCGGCGCATATCAATCGGCATTTCACCCACTTTTAGCCTATTTTCAGCCAATCCATTGTTCCAGTTGACCAAACCATAGCTATTCTTTAGAACCTCCATTTTATCTATCAGCTGAGTACAAGAAACCTCCCATTTACTAATTTGGACTACCCAATATGGTCAAAAATTGGCAATTTGGCCAATTTCACACAAACTAAAAAAGATGCCAATTTCAAAATAGTGTCCAGAATAAACAAGGTAGACATTCGTGGCACTAAAATAACATATGCTCTGTTCATTAGTCACATCTCTAGGCCCCTCTTATATTATTATTGCTTTCTATTTTGATTTTTTATTCATACAAATAAATACAAAATTTACTGTTATGCAGACTACTGCATTATTGTAAAAATGGTATAAATAATATCAGTGCACTAGTGAAAGAATATTAGACTCCCCAGTTGACGTGTATTGGACGTGTGGAGTGATTTATTTACTCCTGAACATTGGTAAAAATCGAACATTTCCGCTACTTTGAGCTCAGTTTCTAGATCGTTTTCATCGTCAAAGTAATGAAAATCATCTCTATTTCTGTAATATGTTTTCCATTTTATCACCTAAGACCATGAAAACGCGAATACAACGATAAACACTATACGAAAATACACCTCAAAGTCGGCGTTTTATTCCAAAAAAACGATCAGTTTTTTTTCTCATTACGCAATGTGTGCTGCAGGATTTTTTTTATGTGGTGCACACTGACCACACAGACCCATTCTCTCACATGTGGGCCTACCAGCTTTCTCCTGCTTGATTTGAAGCCGCTAGAATTATTGAGTATATATACGTCAGAAACATTGGCTTGTAAGACGTATTTATACGTCGAAAACAGTCAAAGGGTTAACATTTCTATCTTTATCCCATCAATCCTGGCTGCCTTACCCCCTTTCATTTTACCTACTGCCTCACGAACTTCCCCCACACTCACAACTGGCTCTTCCTCACTCCTACAAGATGTTATTTCTCCTTGCCCTATACACGAAATTACAGCTTCCCTATCTTCATCAACATTTAACAATTCCTCAAAATATTCCCTCCATCTTCCCAATACCTCTACCTCTCCATTTAATAACTCTCCTCTCCTATTTTTAACTGACAAATCCATTTGTTCTCTAAGCTTTCTTAACCTGTTAATCTCACTCCAAAACTTTTTCTTATTTTCAACAAAATTTGTTGATAACATCTCACCCACTCTCTCATTTGCTCTCTTTTTACATTGCTTCACCACTCTCTTAACCTCTCTCTTTTTCTCCATATACTCTTCTCTCCTTGCATCACTTCTACTTTGTAAAAACTTCTCATATGCTAATTTTTTCTCCCTTACTACTCTCTTTACATCATCATTCCACCAATCGCTTCTCTTCCCTCCCGCACCCACTTCCTGTAACCACAAACTTCTGCTGAACACTCTAACACTACATTTTTAAACCTACCCATACCTCTTTGACCCCATTGCCTATGCTCTCATTAGCCCATCTATCCTCCAATCGTTGTTTTATATCTTACCCTAACTGCCTCCACTTTTAGTTTATAAACCTTCACCTCTCTCTTCCCTGATGCTTCTATTCTCCTTGTATCCATCTACCTTTTACTCTCAGTGTAGCTACAACTAGAAAGTAATCTGATATATCTGTGGCCCCTCTATAAACATGTACATCCTGAAGTCTACTCAACAGTCTTTTATCTACCAATACATAATCCAACAAACTACTGTCATTTTGCCCTACATCATATCTTGTATACTTATTTATCCTCTTTTTCTTAAAATATGTATTACCTAAAACTAAACCCCTTTCTATGACAAAGTTCAATCAAAGGGCTCCCATTATCATTTACACCTGGCACCCCAAACTTACCTACCACACCCTCTCTAAAAGTTTCTCCTACTTTAGCATTCAGGTCCCCTACCACAATTACTCTCTCACTTGGTTCAAAGGCTCCTATACATTCACTTAACATCTCCCAAAATCTCTTCTCTCTCCTCTGCATTCCTCTCTTCTCCAGGTGCATACACGCTTATTATGACCCACTTCTCGCATCCAACCTTTACTTTAATCCACATAATTCTTGAATTTACACATTCATATTCTTTTCTCCTTCTGGAAAAGTGTATGGTAGGTATAATTAAAAAATTTAAAGATAAGACGAGAAAGGATAGAGATGAACAAGGAGGCTTTAGGAAAGGTGGGGGGTTTTGGTGGACCAGGTGTTTACAGTGAACATATAAGTGAACGATTTAGATAAGGGTAAAGAGGTTTTTGTGGCATTTTGGTTTTGGGAAAAAGGGCGTATGCCGGGTGGATGGGGGGGCAATGTGGAAATGTTGAAAGGTAGGTGTAGGGGGTGGTTACTGAAAGAGTAAAGGTTTTTACGGGATAGTGAGGCTCAATTTAGAGTTGTAGGAAAGGGGGAATTTTTCCCAGTAAAAGAGGCCTTAGACAAGGATGTGGAGTCACCGGGGTTTTGTTTAATTATTTATAGATGGGGTTGAAAGAGAAGTAAATGCGAGGGTTTTGGGAAGAGGCGTGGATTAAAGATAAAGAATCCAAAAAAAGTGGGGTTGTCAAGCTGCTCTTTGCTGATGACATTTGTGCTTGGGAGTTCTAAAGAAAAGTTCAGAGATTGGTGGAAAAAAATTTGGTAGGTGTGAAAAAGAAAAAATTTAAAGGGTGAATACAGGAAAGAGTAAGGTTATGGGGATAACAAAAAGTTTAGGTGATGAAAGATTGAATATCAGATTGGGAGGGAGAGAGTATGGAGGAGGTGAACGTATTAGATTTTTGGGGAAAAGTGGACGGTCAGCGGATGGGTCTATGAAAATGAGGTGAATCAAAAAATTTGTGGGGAAAAATGAGTGGGGGCATTAGGAGTCTGTGGAGAAAAAGAATTTTGCCTTTGGAGGCAAGGGGGGGAATGTATGGAGTTATTTTTTTACCAACCTCTTATAGGGGTGTGAACGTGGGTGATGAATGTTGCAGGGGGGAAAAGGGCGGGAGGCGTGGAGATGTAAGTCTGGGGGCAATTGTGGTGTGAATATAATGCAGAGAATTCGTAGTTTAAAATTAGGAGGAGGTGCGGGATTACCAAAACTGTTGCCCCAGGGGTGAGGAAGGGTTGTTGAGGTGGTTCGGACATGTAGAAGAAGGGACAAAAACAAAATTATTCAAAGGTATCAGTTGAGGGAAAGGAAAGGGGGGAGGGTGGCCCTAGGAAGGGTTGGAGGGGGGGGGGTAAAGGAGGTTTTGTGGCGAGGGGGTGGATTTTCCCGCAGGATGCGTGAGCGTGTTTGATAGGAGTGAATGGAGAAAAAGGTTTTTAATACTTGACTGCTGTTGGAGTGTGAGCAAAGTAACATTTTTGAAGGATTCAGGGAAAAACCGGCAGCCGGACTTGATCCTGGGGATGGGGGTCAGTGCCTGCCTTGAAAGGGGGGGTGTTAATTTGCAGTTTAAAAAACTGTAGTGTAAAGACCCTTCTGGGAAACAGTGTGGGTGAAAAGATGGTGAAAGTTTTTTTTTTTCGGCCACCCTGCCTTGGTGGGAATCCCGGTTTTTGATATAAAAAAATATGTGCGTGTCTGTGAAGTGGACCAAAATGTAAGTAGGAGTAGAAAAATACCTTTTTATCTAGCTGTTTATGAACAGAAAAAGAAACCGCAATCCTACCATCATGCAAAACAGTTACGGTTTCTGTTTCCAGTCTCTTGGGGGGACGGGGAGTACTTCCCCGGGGGGTTGCTGTCCCCCCAAACCTATACCTACCCACTACATTTAGAAAATATACAGGAGAAGGGGGTTTCTAGCCCCTTGCCCCCGCATTTTAGTTGCCTTTACAACACATGGGTTTTGGAGGAAGAATTCTGTTCCATTCCCCCGGGAGGTAAGAGGAAATAAACAAGAACAAGAACTAGAAAGAAAATAGAAGAAAACCCAGAGGGGTGTGTTATATATGTTTGTACATGTATGTGTAGTGTGACCTAAGTGTAAGAAGAAGTAGCAAGACGTACCTGAAATCTTGCATGTGTACGAGACAGAATAAAAAGACACCAGCAATCCTACCATCATGTAAAACAATTACAGGCTTCCATTTTACACTCACTTGGCAGGACAGTAGTACCTCCCTGGGCGGTTGCTGTCTATCAACCTACTACCTATAAGATATATTATTATTATGTATTATTATTATTCTTACCTCTGTGAGATCGAAGAATGTGTAGGCTTTCTCTATAATAGTCAGAGTGTTTAATACCATCTTGGATGCGAGACTTGAAGTAAAATGCACTGCCAATGACTATAAACCCTCCAAAAGCTGCAGTACGAGCAAGGGATGGCAAACTAGGCAAGACAAACATCACAGAATTCCCGCAGCTTGCCTTAATTGGGTAATTTTCGACTATTAACCCTCTAGGGTTTATAATCCAAGGAATCTTCTTCCACTTGATGCCCTTTAACAAAAAAAACGTTAAAGGTCAGGAACTCTAAATAACAGTGAGAAAGTTTTATCTGCATATTATAGGTAAAGCAAGCCTGTATATACAGGAGTTATCAATTATTACAAATATTAGACACTTTTGTAGAATGAAATTCAACCTCTTTGGTAGTGGGTGTGGAGCTATTTATGCCAATCAAGAAAGTGGTGCCTATGTGAGCACATGTTTCTTACAGTTGGTATGAGGAGAGGTGGTGACGCATGCCACACTCGTATGCCGCATTGACTTTTTTGACATTTTCCCATCCAGTGTCTTTATCAATACAAATTCAAGGGCATAATGGGAAGACAGTAGAACTTTATACAAAAGAAGAGGTAATCAGTTCCTCAGCCTTGGAGTTGGTGAAGATCACCGAAGTCCTGAAGAATCTGAAGCACAGGCATGAAGATGGGAGCTTATATACTAGAATCATCTGATGCTAGTACATATAAGCTGAGGGACTGATTACCTTGTCTTCTGTATTTAGTTCTACAGTCTTCCCATTATATCCTTAAAATTTATATTGATAAAGCTACTGGATGACAAAACACCTACAAATAAATATACCCAGATGTTGCATATGTGTCTAATTCTACATCTTGTCAGTATTGTATACCATACTAGTAGTCTCTCCTCCCTTAACAATGTACTCGTTTAATGACCGCTCAGACTTACGACCAGATCTCTGACCAGTATGCATACCTAAGTAATGTATATTAGAGCTGATTTTCAATATTCTGTTTATTGCAAAATAGTACACTACTGTATAAACATTTAAAATTATATTAAATTATTATTATTATTATAATCAAGGGGAAAGCGCTAAACCCGGAGGATTATACAGCATCTGGGGGGGGGGGGGGGGGATGTGGAAGGCATTCAGGCTTAATTCGGGGAATGAACTGGAGCACAGATCCAATTTCCTAAATCAAGAGCCCCTCACCAACATCAAGGAACCTTCCTTGAGGGGAAATTATACTAAAACTGTTATGAATGGTGCAAAGGTGACATTAAAACAATATCTAAAGATGGTTAACACAAACCCACTATCAGTATACGTAGTATGCTCCTTGCTTAACAACCTACTCTTAGGAACGGAACTCCGTTGTTAAGTAAGGAGAAACTGTACATCGTGTAGCAGGTTTTGTCAATATTAAGGGAGAATTTGTTGGTAGTCATCCATGTAGATGTTTTTAGGAGCTCATCATTAACAGTGTCACTGAGAGTAGCCAGACTGGAGTATACCTGGAGAGGGTTTCGGGGGTCAATACCCCAACAGGTCAGTCCGAGACCAGGCCTCATGGTGGATCAGGGTCTGATCAACCAGGCTGTTACTGCTGGCCACACGCAAACTGATATTATTATTATTATTATAATCAAAAAGAAGCGCTAAGCCACAAGGGCTATACAGCGCTGCACGCAAACTGATAGACGATAAAAATTGTGTCATCTGCAGCAGAACAGGTTTAAGGAGAGGAGATGTGTTAGGGAGATCACTGATGTAAATGAGTAACAAAGGGCCAAGAACCCTGTCCCGAGGCACTCTTACATCGACAGGCTGAGTTGGCAAAGACCCCAGTGGAAATAAGTTACTTGTTCTTAATTTTTCAGGTTATCCTGGGTAATCTATACACATCCTGCTAGATAAGATTTTCTTCAGATTTTTAACCCAGGAGGGTTAGCCACCCATGATAACCCAAGAAAGTCAGTGCATCATCGAGGGCTGTCTAACTGTATTTCCATTTGGGTCCTCAATCTTGTCCCCCAGGATGCGACCACACCAGTCGACTAACACCCAGGTACCCATTTGCTGCAAGGTGAACATGACAACACGTGTAAGGAAACACGTCAAAATGTTTCCACCTGGCTGGGAATTGAACCCGGACCCTCCATGTGTGAAGCGAGAATTTTGTGTATATCTGTACCTGAATAAACTTATGCCACTGATGGAGACATACTAGTGTCTGCTACTAAGATAAGACTAAGTATACGAAAGTATGACCTCTTATATCATAATATTCTAGTTTAAGATACAGGATGTTGTTGACCACTTTATCGTCAGCTTTCCATAAGTCTACGAAGAGCCCCGGGGATATTATTTTCACAAGTTCCATAAAGCAGATCAAGTATTTTGATAATTGCATCATTTCTAATTTTTTCTTTTTTTGCCTAAAACCAAACTGGCAAGGGTTGAGTATATAGCAACACACTAGAAAAGGAGTCAAGTCACTTATAAATTATTTTTCGATGATTTTAGACAGCAATGGCAAGTTGGATATTATTATTATTATTATTATAATAATCAAGGGGAAGCGCTAAACCCGGAGGATTATACAGCACCTGGGGGGGGGATGTGGAAGGCATTCAGGCTTAATTCGGGGAACTGGAGCACAGATCCAATTCCCTAAATCAAGAGCCCCTCACCAAAATCAAGGAACCTTCCTTGAGAGGAAGTTGGATATTAGACAATAGTTATTTATCTCAGTTGGATCATCTCCTTTGAGGATCAGGATAACAGTGTTAATTTATTTATTAAATAGTAATTATTTATTTATGAAAACTAAGTGATGAAACCACAAGGGTCACACAATGCTGGTAAATACAAGGACCCCAATCAAAAGTCACTGACTTTTTGGGTTATCCTGGGTAATTTACACATATGTATAATAACTGTAATTATGTGTACCTGTACCTGAATAAACTTACTTATGTGTACCTGTACCTGAATAAACTTACATTTGCTACCTTAATTAAGCTCCGTTGGGAAAATTCTCGTTTCTAATTACTTATTAAAAAAAAAAGTTGGGGTAGCTGCTGAGAGCACCTGAGCTGCTCTATTATACATTAATACCGGCAAATTAATGTTCCTATCTGTTTTTTTCAGTGATTTTATTATAAATATGGAGAACAAGAAATACATTATAATCAAAAGTGAAGCGCTAAACCTACAATAAAATACAAAGAAGCGAAAGGGAATAAATCCCTATTTTTTTTACCTTTTTTGGGTTATCCTCTAATTTACACACGTTAAGATAATCGTAAATCACCTGATAATTGTAAAAATGTACCTAAATAAACTTAAGTTGCCACAGAATAAAAAAAAAAAAAGGCTTATTGTTGTTAAGGACCAAGAGAGTCTGAGCTGAGGTGTGTTAAGGCACTTGTGTAAGTAATTAAGTTTATTCAGGTATACACAAATACACTTATATATATTATCATATATAGCAGCATATGTGTAAAAAACTTAGGATAACCCCAAAAAAGAAGCTATTTATTTCCACTGGAGTCCTTTTTTTTTACTTTTCAAATTCAAAGTTTATTCTCTATAAGAGACCTGGAGAGACCTGGAGAGACCTGGAGAGAGTTTCGGGGGTCAACGCCCCCGCTGAGTTTACAGAATTTGGTTATTGTGTGGTTTACATGTAGTAAAATAATGATTACAGAGTGTACCACTAGAACACCTAGCATGGCTAGGTATTACAGAGTGTACCACTAGAACACCTAGCATGGCTAGGTATTACAGAGTGAACCACTAGAACACCTAGCATGGCTAGGTATTACAGAGTGTACCACTAAAAACACCTAGCATGGCTAGGTATTACAGTTTTACCACTAGAACACCTAGCATGGCTAGGTATTACAGTGTACCACTAGAACACCTAGCATGGCTAGGTATTACAGAGTGTACCACTAGAACACCTAGCATGGCTAGGTATTACAGTGTACCACTAGAACACCTAGCATGGCTAGGTATTACAGTGTACCACTAGAACACCTAGCATGGCTAGGTATTTCGGGCAGACTTACTTTAATTCTTAACTTTAAAATATTACAAATTATGAGGAAAGTTGGTATTATGGCTAAGTGACTAAATACTAGTTTGTGAGTTTAGCAATGTGAATGATTTTGTTTTGGCACAATACATAGTTTATATGGTTATATTTAAGTGAAAAAGTTAGTTTATTTAGGCATGGGTACACATAAGTACAATTATCATACATAGATTAAAATGTGTGTAAATTACCCAGGATAACCAGGAAGGAAAAAAAACTGGCAGGAAATGGCAGAAATCGTACACCAAATCCAGTCATTCCTGGAGTGGAACCACAGTCGATGGCCTCCACTCCAAACCAACAGATACAGATACTAATGCCGGAAAAAAATCCCCCCCCCCAGTACCAACAATACCACCAGTCCGATAACATTCTTCTTTGCAAATATACAGGGTCTAAAGCCAGCAACAAACAACAAAATACCTTTCATCCGTGGACTGCTTGCAGAGGCAAAGGCAATGTTCGCAGTTTCACTGAGCCCACATAAAGGATCATTTGGGGACAACAAAATATGGATCCCAGGTTACATCCTATACAGATGTGACGAGTGAACGGGCAAAGGGGGGGGGGGTTGGGCCCTGCATTGTAGAGTCACTTGTTTGCCAGAATGCTTAATGCCTCAAAAATGATGTGTGGAAGTTTTAGCAGAAAAGATCGAGAACCAAACCTAGTCATTGGGGTATCTACAAGCCCCCGGTTGCAAATCCGCAATTCCAGGAACAGCTTTTAAAAAATTGCCCCCACGTTGGAAAACCTTTCAGTCCTGCCCCCAACATTTGCCCTGGGGGATTTCAACTTAAGGCCCCAAAAAGGGGGAAAAGAAAATAATATTGTTGCAGTAAAACCCAGGAGGCAGCTTGATGAAAACTCACACTCCCCGAGCTTTTAAATCTCTCCAAAATTCAATTAAACCAGCAAATAATAGAGCTATGACTGGAGAATAAAATAGACCCTCATCTTCACTAACAATGATGATCTGATAAAAAATGTCACCATATCAAAAAAAATATACTAGACACAAAAAATTGGGGTTTCCCTTGTATGCGTGGAGCCCCAACGCATAATGAAAAGTCCCGAGGGAGCATTCCCCAAATTCAATTCAATAACAAAAAAAAAGGGGGCCAAGTAACCAAGTCCAAAACCGATAAAGCTGGAAGATATATAAGCAACACAGACCCCAATTTCCTAGAACAGTTAACTCGTGCCTCGATGTACACAAACTTATTCCCTAAGAAAAAGGAGGAGTAGATGTAAAATAGAAAAAAGACAGGGGCCCCCTTTTAAAGGCGACGGAAAAAAAAAAAGAGCGGGTAAAAAAGGTCAAATTCTGAAATGGTTTGGGATTTCTGGGGCAGAGAAATAGCAAGCATCGAACTTAAGCTAAAAAATCCTTTAGGGGTCAGGTCGTGGGAAGAACTAAAAAACCTAAAAGAAACGAAAAAAAACCCCAAAATATTTCTTCTCCTATCAAATCAAAATCAGAACAACGCAGTATTGGGCCCCTACTTAAACAAAATGGGTCCTACACAAAATACAGCGGAAAAAGGGCACTCAAGTCCCAATATGACTCATTTTTTTTGCAAGCCCTTAACCGACTGAGGTGAAGATCAAAATGAATTTTTTTGAGAGAGCCCCAAAATTTGATTAACACAACCCATCCGATGTTATCCGACGTCAAATGCTTTGACAGGCGATAAAAGAATGCCCCTCACTTGCCCAGGGCCAGATCTGGAATCTGTGTTCATCAAGAACTGCAAGAAGCCCCTATCACGAGCCTTTTCCATCCTATGGAGAGGGAGCATGGACACGGGGGTCGTCCCACAGTTACTAAAAACAACAGACATAGCCCCACTCCACAAAGGGGGCAGTAAAGCAACAGCAAAGAACTAGACCAATAGCACTAACATCCCATATCATAAAAATCTTTGAAAGGGTCCTAAGAAGCAAGATCACAACCCATCTAGAAACCCATCAGTTACACAACCCAGGGCAACATGGGTTTAGAACAGGTCGCTCCTGTCTGTCTCAACTATTGGATCACTACGACAAGGTCCTAAATGCACTAGAAGACAAAAAGAACGCAGATGTAATATATACAGACTTTGCAAAAGCCTTCGACAAGTGTGACCATGGGGTAATAGCGCACAAAATGCGTGCTAAAGGAATAACAGGAAAAGTCGGTCGATGGATCTTTAATTTCCTCACTAACAGAACACAGAGAGTAGCCGTCAACAGAGTAAAGTCCGAGGCAGCTACGGTGAAAAGCTCTGTTCCACAAGGCACAGTACTCGCTCCCATCTTGTTCCTCATCCTCATATCCGACATAGACAAGGATGTCAGCCACAGCACCGTGTCTTCCTTTGCAGATGACACCCGAATCTGCATGAGTGTCTTCCATTGCAGACATTGCAAGGCTCCAGGCGGACATCAACCAAATCTTTCAGTGGGCTGCAGAAAACAATATGAAGTTCAACGATGAGAAATTTCAATTACTCAGATATGGTAAACATGAGGAAATTAAATCTTCATCAGAGTACAAAACAAATTCTGGCCACAAAATAGAGCGAAACACCAACGTCAAAGACCTGGGAGTGATTATGTCAGAGGATCTCACCTTCAAGGACCATAACATTGTATCAATCGCATCTGCTAGAAAAATGACAGGATGGATAATGAGAACCTTCAAAACTAGGGAGGCCAAGCCCATGATGACACTCTTCAGGTCACTTGTTCTATCTAGGCTGGAATATTGCTGCACACTAACAGCACCTTACAAGGCAGGTGAAATTGCCGACCTAGAAAATGTACAGAGAACCTTCACGGCACGCATAACGGAGATAAAACACCTCAATTATTGGGAGCGCTTGAGGTTCCTAAACCTGTATTCCCTGGAACGCAGGAGGAAGAGATACACGATTATATACACCTGGAAAATCCTAGAGGGACTAGTACCGAACTTGCACACGAAAATCACTCACTACGAAAGCACTTGGCAGACGATGCACCATCCCCCCAATGAAAAGCAGGGGTGTCACTAGCACGTTAAGAGACCATACAATAAGTGTCAGGGGCCCGAGACTGTTCAACTGCCTCCCAGCACACATAAGGGGGATTACCAACAGACCCCTGGCAGTCTTCAAGCTGGCACTGGACAAGCACCTAAAGTCGGTTCCTGATCAGCCGGGCTCTGGCTCGTACGTTGGTTTGCGTGCAGCCAGCAGCAACAGCCTGGTTGATCAGGCTCTGATCCACCAGGAGGCCTGGTCACAGACCTGGCCGCGGGGGCGTTGACCCCCGGAACTCTCTCCAGGTAAACTCCAGGTAACCCAATAAAAAAAGTCAGGTAAAGTTACTTATTTCCACTTGGGTCATTGTATTTCCTGTACTAACATGTCTTGCACCAAATTTTTATGTTAACTATGACCATATTGTCCAATATCAATAGCTATTTTTTATATAAAAGCAAACTTGAATTTATTTCCATACATATGACAAACTGGCTATTACCCAGACTGTGACTGTTGAACTCTATCACCAGAGGACCTAGCAGCGATCAGTGATGAGGCGGGGCCAGGAGCTGAGTCTCGACAGCTGCAACCACAATTAGGTGAGTACATAGCGCAATGACTAGGATAAGTAAGTTTACTCAGGTATACACAAATACAGTTACGTATATTATCATACATAGCATTATATGTGTAAAGAACCTGGGATAACACATAAAAGTCAGATAAAGTGACTTATTTCCACTGGGGTCCTTTATAGATTCTGCTGGAATATAGGTAAGATACAGCCAGGGGTGACAGGTAACATATGGGCAACAAGGGGACACGGCAACAAGGGGACACGGCAACAAGGACACCGCAACAAGGACACAGCAACAAGGACACGGCAACAAGGGGACACAGGAACAAGGGGGCACGGCAACAAGGGGACACGGCAACAAGGACACGGCAACAAGGGGACAAAGGAACAAGGGGGCACGGCAACAAGGGGACACAGGAACAAGGGGACACGGCAACAAGGGGACACAGGAACAAATGGGCACGGCAACAAGGGGACACGGCAACAAGGGGACACGGCAACAAGGGGACACGGCAACAAGGGGACACGGCAACAAGGGGACACGACAGCAAGGGGACACGGCAACAAGGGGACACGGCAACAAGGGGACACGGCAACAAGGGGACACGGCAACAAGGGGACACAACTGAAAGTTAGCTCAGATGAGTCATAAGGATATTATGAAATATTTCTTCATTCATAGAGTTGTCAGGAAGTGAAACAATGTTGAGAGTGATGTAGTGGAGGCAGGACCCATACATAGCCT